AGCGCCGGACGTTCGCTTTTCGTCCTCTCATTTTCGTAAACAACACCCCCGCCGCGAGAAGGCAATGAGTAGGACTTCCCTGGCAGAGGCTGTATACGCGCGGCCGTAAGTCACAAGCTTTTTAGACAAAGATGGATAGTGTCTAGCAGTGGAATCCAGGATGAATGTTTCGTCCTATTTCGGACTCGTCAAATGGATGTACCTGAATCGCAGAGTTGATGTTCACTCTGTGACTGGAATCCAGTACCGTTCACTTCAAACGCCATCACGTTATTTACTCATCTACTGAGTCCTGATAGCCAATTGCTTCTGCAATGGGGTGAAGTTTAAATTCAATTGTTGTTGTTTTAATTGTATCTCGACATTGTTATTTAAGACTAGAATTGATCAGTCTCTCGTTGACATATGTGCATCCTGTATACATGTACAGACATATAGGCGTATAAGATTGTAGCTTAATGCGGCTTTGAAAAGGCAAAGAAAAGTAAGTTTAGACAAATAAGTCTGAAATAGATATTTTATTAGTTAGAAAAGTTGGAAGCTTTTTCTTTACAGTTTCTGAACTTTGTACTTAATGATGAACATACTACAATGTGTATTATGCTAAATTATTTAATAGACAGTTAAATGAATATGATTTGAATTTATAATTGATATTGGGTAGGATTGAGAGATTATTGATTGATTAGCGACTTTTATCTTTATGTTTTATGAAAAACTTAATATCCAAAAAGTAAACAATATTCCCTTGGTTGAATATTATATTGCCCCCAAATGCCCTGGTATGGCCGAGGGTGAGGGAGACCCTCCCTCCCTCTCGAAATGCTCTCGCACGGCTACGCGTATACAGCCTCTGCCAGGAAAGTCCTACTCACTGCCTTCTCGTGGCATTACTGTTGTTTACGAAATTGAGAGGACGAAAAGCGAATGTCCGGCGCTTTAACCCGATTTCAAACTATTGTTGCACACGAGCTTCAGTACCCTGAGGGGAGAAATGGCGTATGAACCAATCGTTGGTCACCGGATACCATGGGACTGCATCTCCTCACGATGCTCCACTGCCTTGATGTCACTAAATTGGTTGCAACTTGTGTTGCAAGTAAGTATCAAACCGAGCTAGCATCTAGGCTAGCTACCATTCCACCGAAAAGTATAGATGAGCATTGATTGCGACTTCACGACGCCATGAAAATGGCGAGTAAAGCCGCTTGCGGCTTCGCGAAACGTCCCACTTATAAGCACTGGGTTTCTCCAGGCTCCTTACAACTCATCGAATCCCTTCGGTCTACTCCGGGTGATCGTGAGTTTCACCACAAACGAAGGATGTTACGTAGTGAAATTGGGCAAAGCTTGCGTAAGGACCGAGAAGCCTGGTGGTGCTCCGGCAACATCGGTCAGACTGTCCTGCCCTCCATGGCCGGTGACGACTGATCCACCAAACGAGGAGGAAGTCCGCAAGGAACTCTAACTCTTGAAGCGTTACAAATCACCTGGCCCAGATGACTTACCTCCGGCTCTTTTTAAAGATGGTGGTGACTTTCTGATTAAGGAATTGACAACGTTGTTAACAAAGGTTCGGGAACTAGAGAGTGTACCAACGTCATGGAATGAGTCGATAGTTGTCCCTATCTTTAAAAACGGTTCACGTCGTCCCTGTAACAACTATCGGGGGATAAGTCTACTTCCGATTGCGTCCAAGCTATTGGATTCCGTCATACTTCGTAGGTTGTTCAAAACCCAAGAAAGATTGACTCGCGAGGAGCAGGCTGGGTTTCGTTCTGGTCGAGGATGTATTGATCATATCTTCACCCTCCGCCAAATGTTAGAACACCGTCATACTTATCAAAGGCCAACAATCGTAGTGTTTCCTGACATGAGGGCTGCCTTCGATTCGTTGGACAGGACTGTTCTCTGGAATTGTCTATTGAAGAAGAATGTGCCTGAAAAGTTTATTAACATCTTAAAGGCCCTATATACAAACACCTCAGGCAGAGTGAGGGCATACAACCACCTCTCTCCATTGTTCCATTCGAGCAGTGGGGTTAGGCAGGGTTGCCCAATCTCACCATTCCTCTTCAGCTTTGCCATCAACGACATTCTGGAAACAGCTCTGATGGATGTAAGTAATGGCGGTGTGGATCTACTGCCTGGAGAAAGACTTCTCGACCTTGAGTATGCGAATGATATTGTCTTACTGTGTGATAATACCCAAGGCATGCAATCCGCACTTAATCAGTTGGCAATCAGTGTCCGTAGGTATGGTATGTGCTTTGCACCTTCGAAGTGCGAAGTACTTCTACAAGACTGGAGGGATTCTAATCCTGTACTCACTCTAGATAGTGAATAGATAGAAGTAGTCGAGAAGTTCGTGTATCTGTATAGCTGCATAAGCGCTGGTGGGGGTGTGAGTGGTGAGATCAATGCACGTATAGTGAAAGCCAGAGCGGCTTATGCCAATCTGAGCCATCTTTGGCGCCTTCGTGATGTCAGTCTGGCTGTAAAAGGTCGGATGTACAACGCGTCGGTGAGAGCAGTTTTGCTCTATGCTTGTGAAACCTGGCCTCTCCGAGTTGAGGACGTTAGACGACTCTCTGTGTTCGATCATCGCTGTCTCCGAAGGATTGCTGACATCCAGTGGCAACACCATGTTAGTAATGCAGAAGTTCGGCATCGTGTGTTCGGGAGCACAGACGATAATGCAATTGGTGTCACCATCTTGAAACATCGACTTCGGTGGCTTGGACATGTTCTACGAATATCGTGCCAGAGTATTCCACGTCGTGCATCATTTGCCGACTCTGGGACTGGTTGGAAAAAGTGGAGAGGTGGTCAGTATATGACATGGTGTCGTGGTATGAAAGAAAGCTGCAAAGGGCTGGTTTGTGTTGGTCCTTCACGACTCCCTGGTTGGGGTCTGGGAGATGGTGCTACACAGTGGCTAGAGACGTTATCAGATATGGCTCAGAATATAAGCCAGTGACGATCCTGCCGTAACCTTCTTTTACTTTCGCCATAAAAAATGGTTGTATCTTCCTTAAGTGAAAGATTTCTTCTGATTGTACCTTTCTGTTTCCCCCATTATTATTATCATTACACTACCTTACACTAATGTGGTCGTTATTGTTCTTTTTTTTATACGCACCTTACATTCTTTTTCTCTTCACATTCGCACTGTTTTATGCGGCGCATATATATCTGGTGCCCTCTTGTACCAATATTTATGTGTCCAAATGAATATTATATTACTATGACAAACTTTAATCCCCAAATGTATTCAGTTAGTTAGTTGGCTAGTGATTCCCTTTTATGAAGCTTATCCTCCTAGAATTTGAGACTTGGTTTCGTTAGGAAAAAAAAATAGGTTTATCATATAAACGTTTTAGCGTATTTTATCAACACAATGATGCTATCAGAGTGGGAAGTAACTGATAAGGCTGAATGCTTGAAATATCGGTTAATTGTAAGAAATTAACATTATTAGATAGGAAGTAAAGGCAAATAATGAATCTAGATAAGCGTGAAATGAATGGAATTTAAGAAATGACTAGAATAAAGGGACGGAAATTCTGGGATTACGCTCAATTTAAAACACAGAGGAAGTTAAAATATGTATGCGATTGTGATGTTTTCTGAGAACCATGTTATTTGGCATTTCAAACTATAGATTACGACTATTTTGTGGATCCAAACCAGAAAATTTGCATTATTTGTCAGGCTTCACACCAACAGTCAACAGATTTATGAACTTATACTGTACCTTCGTTTGTTTACCCATAAAGTTTCTTTGAATCTATTACCTACTCTAGCTAGAACTGCACACCCGCATGTAGCACCTCGCGACGACCTTAGCTACTTGAGATTTACAGCCTAATCAACTGAATTTTTATTTTTATTTGGATTCATAAGTATTTATTAGCATATATTTGTTTCACTATGAGAGTAGTGTTCCTAAAACACCTATAATGTTACGTGGAACATATACATCCCTAAATTTTAAAAGCTATTTTTTACCGTCACAAAGTAACACACAGAAGCCTGTTGAGTAGTATGCATACTGTTTAATCAGAAGATGGACACCTCCCATGGGCCTTAGGTGATGCAAAGTGGCAAAAGTCAGCTGAATGGGCTGATTTTTTCTCAGGCACCAATCCACCAGAACTTATGAGATTTCCAAGTGAATTTGTTAACACACTTAACTACTTCATTATCAATAGTTAGACCAGGCACTGACGTAGATCAGTCCTCAAGAAACATATTACAATTAATGTTAGGAAAATGCAAACCAAACTCTCTGTCATTATCACTTAAATCAAGCACGTTTATATATGTCTCCTTTATGGGATAAAAGTTTTATACATAAACATCAAAAACAAGTAAATACGAAACAATTCAAACAGACATTGTATCAACATTACGTTTTCATTAAAAAAAATGAATATGGGACTTTGTACTCATGTTAATAATCATTTTACAGTTAGCCTGTGAAAATGAACTTACGAATACAAGAATTAGACCCTAACTAGTTTAGCATAGCATAATACAATATTCGTTTATCAAATATATACGCGATGAAATAATCTCATTGATTGAACAACATTCTGAATTGGATAAAGGTACATATTCTCTCTGTTAAGTGTAATCTTTACTAAGTAACTACAATCTTTCCATTAGTAAACTGTTTATGAATTGATAATCACCTTTCAATGCGAATGAAGATCTCTAATAGAAAGTTAAATTGTACAAAGATGTGGATAATCATATGTAATGAATACCAATAGAAATAAGATACCTATCTTAAGAATTTCCCTCAATACTTTTTTTCCCAATTTACATTAAAGATACGTATTTCGAAAACTAATCTAAGCCAAAAACTCCATCGAATGACAATAAAAATGATTATTTATGCTTCACTTGATAAGACAAAAACTAACAAAAACACACAAAAAATTTTGTATTAGAATAAAGTAGATAATTAAATTTTTTTGCAATATTTATATTACCTGAAAAACTTTTCCAAATTCTCCTTCGCCAAGACTACTGCCAATTTCAAGTTCATTCGATTGAATAACCCGATAATTTGTATTTCCATTAATGGTTAAATTACTCAAATTTTCTGTCAAACACTTATTACTACCATCATGACCTTTAGAATTTTGTGTAAGTAATAGTGTACGTCGTTTTGTATCGCCATCTTCAGATGTTGGTGTACTATCTAATGAAATGGATAATACGTTGAGATTACGAGATGATAATCCATCTAATGTATCTTTGAGTCGTGGTGATAAACATCGGCCACTGGTGGATCGAGCTAAGCGCTAAACGAGAAAAAAAAAGAGAATGAAAAAAGTTATTTTTCTGGAAGAGAAGTAATAATTAAAATTTGATATCAATTAAGAATTTTTGGGTTTTATTGCTTTAATCAGCTGTAGTTTAAAGTACTTTATGAGGTCTATAGATAGGGTGATCACTACGAATTTTGTTTCGTTGACATTATGATACAATCAAGCAGGCTTTAAACAACTAGAGATAATCGGTAGAAAGTTCTTCATTTAAGTTTAAAGGATTAAAAATTTCAGTTGATATTCATTTATAAGATTAAATAAAATAAAACATTTCAGAAGAGATAATCATACAGCAAATAAGGGTAGGGATATATGTGCGATTATCAGCAAAGTACCGTTTGCTAAGAAATACTGAAAAAGAAAATACAATACAGAAAATTATGTGTTGATGTTCATTTATTTCTAACTACAATCCCTTAAGTTAAACTAACCTTTCTTAGCTTCCCCATAGCAGTTTGTGGGCATTCTCGTTTGAAATGTTTCCGTAAACGTCGTTGTTCTGGTCGACTGAAACCTAGTTCTGCAAGATCAGAATCTTCAACATATTTGATTTGTTGAACTGAACGTATCTGTAAAAATAGCAAAAATAGTGAACTATGAGAAATATCATTCTGATAAATAGGGTATCGATAAAAATGACACTATGGATTTGATTTAAATAATAAACTAAGGATATAAAAACATTTGTTTTACTTCTGAATAGGTAGCGAAGTGGCGTCTTCAGCCTGTAGTTGATTTTCCGCTTGCAAATATAAAATTAGGTTTGTTAATTGAGGTGCATTTGTTCACCCAAATCAATGATTATGTTAACATTCTTGTACTAGTCTTAGTTAAACCTATTTGATGAAGATTAGAAATACTGCTCAAAAGCATATGAAATGAAGTCGGAATTTGTGTCTTAGTAACTGAAAACTTGCTGATTAAACTACTGAGTCACAGCTCCACTATCCATTCATTGATTTAATTATGGGATACATTGCAGACTGCATTTAGTTCATTAATCTTAGTGTTTTAAAAAAGTGATTAATATAAATATTTTGAACGAATGTCCTTTCAGCTGGATGACAGAATTTTTGGTTGAACATAATTTGTCCCCTAGTCCATAAATTTAGTAAGTTGTCTTAAGCTACAATTCTACCTGAAAAACTGTATTGATTGTATAAACTAATGATTCCTTTGTACTTGATGACTGCCTAATTTCGAATCCTAAATACAATACATTTGTTCGTGCTCTTCTAGTTCTCCTTAGTTAAATTGTGTTATTTCTGAATTCCTAATTCGTACAATAATTCAAATACTTCTAATTATCACAAAAACATTTCAAGTTAAAAATCATTAAAAGGTCATACATATTCACCAGAAATCAAATCGCTTCGATCATCGTAAGGCTATTTTTCTCAATATAAAGCATCTTTTTCTTAGCTTCCTCTATAATTCACCCGACACTAAGTTTGTTTTGAACAAGTTAACAACTACTATAATAGTTGTAAGTTCTTTCTTTTAGCTTTTCTGGTCAATATGTTAGAATAGTAGTAAAAAAGTAAAGAAGAGCAGAATGATGGAGACCACTGTAAATTTTTGAACATCTAGTTTGTGTGTTTTGTGTTGAACCAAAGTTTAATAGAAATCATAACTTTAAATATAAAAGAGAATTTGATTATTTTTTATATGGGTATCGATGAACTTGGATATGATCGAGTATGCAGGGACAAAGTGGTACATATTTTAAAATGCTACTTTTACAGTTTTAAAAAAATTGACTAACCTTTAAATGACGAGTAAGTACGGAGTAATAGTGGTCTAGTTCTGCATCCTTTAAGAACTCATAAAGATTTTTTTCTGAAGGCTGTTGCTTATCTTGATTAGAAAGATTTAAGAATGATGGAGGCGGGCTTTTTAGCACAGTACATCCTAAAGGCATGACCGGATACTGTCTTTGTTCCCACACCTCTCCTATTGTACCTTCTGTCGCAGTTGTTGCTAAACTTAGTGAATCAGACAATGTATCTGCACTTGGAGCTGACAGTTTTAAATGACTACAGCCAATTCTAGAACGATCACCTCGAAGGTGTTGAGATGTTGATCGTGAACGTAGATTTCCGTTTTCACTGACTATAGGGATGTTAGCAGTCGGTGCCAAAGAGGCAGTCAGCATGCCCAAAGAAGTTGAATGATAAATTTATTACACTACCGACACCTAATTCAAAAAAGGAGAAAAGGGACAATCAAGGTGTTTTCACAGAACTACGAAAACCTGGAATTATAGAAATAGAAAAGTGAAGTAATCTAAAAGAAACAAAATCTAACTTGGACTGCAACACCTCATGACTTTATGTCTACATTGTCCATTGTGTTTACCAATTGCTCCCAAATTTCCTGCTAAGGCAAATAGTGGGAAGAATCAGATACGCCTCTTCAAACGCTCTCACATGGCCACGTGCATAACACTGTCAGGGAAATCCTACTCACTACCTTCTGGCGGCATTACTGTTGTTTACGAAATTCAGAGGACAAAAAGCGAATATCCGGTGCTTTAATTGGGTTGGTGGATATGGAGGATCCACCTACAAGAGTTGGAAAACCCTGATTTAAAACCAATGGTGCACATGAGCTCCAGGATCCTGAGCGAACAAATGACGTATGGGACAATTATTGGTTACCAGCTACCATCGGACTGCATCTTCTGACGTTGCTCCATTACCTTGTGGATAAGACCTTTAGGTTAAAGACTCTTGGTATGGCCTCTTAAAACCACCTGATTTATTTTGGGCTCACGGGTAGTATCCCAGCCCACACACCAATATAGTGATTTATGTGGTACATCTATTTGGTGCCTCATTGTACTAATGCTTATGCGTTTAAATAAATTTAAATAAACAAACACCAATAAAATGTAGTGATCAGCAAAAAAAACATGTGTACAATTTCCTATTCTCTAAACAATCATAAAGACGACTAATGAGAACAAAACCAATGAAGCAGAAAGAATGGGTAAACCAAACATAAAAATCAAATAAAAATGAGAAGAGAAGATAATGATATCATACTATATAGTCTATATCTTGTAAACTTAGAGGGAAATAAAGCCACTGCAACCGATTTATAACAGTGTCACCAAACTAATGATAGGTAACATGGTGTACTCTAATAGATTGTGATTCAATATGAGTAACGGACTTCTGAACTACCTCAATTGATAAAGATATAAAGTCTAGATAACACTTACCAATATTACCGAGTACTCTGTCTTGATTTACTAACAATTATTCTACTGACACGTGTCAAAAGTGGGCAACAATTTGATAACAAGATTTTTTGTTTTTTCTAATCAGAACGTCTAAATACGTTTTCCTTCTTGTAGAACGCAAAGCGATATTTCCACCACTCATCATCTGATATAGCAACGCGTGTGCTATCACGCCTCTAAATTCTGACCCGTTTAAAACCGATCGTCTCAATAAAAATCGAAAAACCTTTAAAATTCATGATCGAGTGAGCAGAAGTTGAGACCACTCTTTCCCGGATCCCACAGAATGGTCAACGATTGATGTGTCAAACCAAAACAAATAAAGTAAACTAAGAAAGTGAAACTTCCGAAATTAGAGACTTGAATATCACAGAGGTACCCGCAACGAGGATCAATGGAGCGACGGACTTATAGTTCTTATTACAAATACAAATTAAACAAAATACTGAATACAGCTGGTAATAAATAATCAAAGTCAATCGAATCAATCAAAAACTCCTCCCACTATACATGGATGCAAAAAAAATTATGTTCCATTTTACCTTGACGTTTCTATTCCGGACACAAGGGGGATCTACCGTCATTAACATATAACGAAAATACGAAGCCAATCGAAAATCAATGCAAACACAGCGCGCAGCGCAGACCTTCGAGCGTAAACTTCAATCCTCGAAGTTTAAAGATTCAAATGGTTCAGATGATTGTGGACGGGATAGAAGAAGCTTTCGCTGAATGGACTTCCGTGTCTGGTAGCAGTGGATCATCAATATCTTCAGCCAGGAACTTAGGTATATTAACGATAATAGAGAAAAAAGAAATCGGTCAATCATAGTAAGATATTATCCTTGGTCCTTAATAATGTATCAAGCTTTCTCTTAAAAAAAACTCATGAGAGGTCACTTGGACTAGCTCAGCCGGCAGCGAATTCCTGTATTCAACTACTCTTAAGGAGTAGAAGTTGTGTCTACAGTCCGTACTGCTATGTTGTATCTCCAATATCTGGGTGTCACCCCTTAGGTTTGTATTGGGACTAAACTTAAGTAGGTGTTTAAAAGGATTTTCAGAAGCGTTAAGGATACTGTAAACCATTAGAACGTCACGTCTAGGACGCCTGTACTCTAATGGGTAAAGGTTTAGTGATCGGAGGCGCTCTTCATAAGGCTTGAATTTGAGTCCCAGAACTCATTTTGTGGCTCGCCGTTGGATACGCTCCAGAGTGTCCTTATCCTTTTAGAGTGAGGGAGGAAATACTATTCTTCTGTACTCTCAATGGGGACGAATGAAGCTGTTGAAGGTTGTGTGGAAAATTCTTCCGTCAAACTGGTAAAAAATTCGTTTCAATGTTACCAGTGCAAGGTTTGCTCGGAAGGCATTTTTGTCACAGATAGCGTAGGACTTCAAGTTGTAGGGCACCAACATTCCTGAATCTTTCTCAACTTGGGATACTTCTACAGTGGAGTTTCTTGAGTTGTAACTATTGTCTGTAACATTTCCCAGATGGACTACTTTACACTTTGAAGTGTTTAAAGTAAGTCCATTATTATCTGCCCAACTTTGGAGTCGATTCAGATCCTCCTGAAGTGCCAGTATATCTTCTTGTTTGTATATCTCTCTCTTCAAAGTTTAAACATCATCAGAAAAAAGTAATAAGTCAGACGATACCTGTTATGGATGATAAATGAATAAAAGAAAAGTTTCTAGTACACTGAGGGGCCTCACTAGGACATTCTACATCCTGAACTTAAAATGTCGAAGTTGTAGGTATGAAGTGAGTCATTCAATTAGAGATGATTTGATACCCAATCGTTTAAACTTATTTGTAATGCATCTATGGTTGATTTTATTAGAAGCTTGTGAGAAGTCAAGGCAAATGGCGTCACCCTTCCCCTCGCGATCAAGGATGTTTAACCATCTGTCCACCGCAGTCAACAGGTTGGTGATACAAGAATGATTCTTCTAAAAACCATGTTGCTGGTGTGAAAAGAAGTATACGGATAGTAAGTAGTCTTGTAGAACGTCACATATCAGGGACTCCATAATTTTTGAAGGTATAGAGCGAAGAGTCACAAGTCGGTAACTTGAAGGTTCGCTGCGTCAACATCCTTTAAAAAATTGGCGTGATATGAGCCAGCTTCCAAATTTCCGGTAATGTTCCTCGGCTTAGGGAGTGTGAGAACATCACGCTAAGCAGTTATGCCAGGACTGAAGCAGCAGAATGGACCATATCCGGGCCAGAAGAAGTGTCTTTCTTAGGTGCTGCAGTTTCTGGTACACTAAGTCAGTGCTGAAGTTCATTTCAGAAAGTCCTGTGCAGCCGCAGACGAAGCTTTCAGCAACTTATTTAATGTGTGTCGGTCGAAATATCCGACAGTACCGTCCAGCCAGAAAGTTAGCGGTGTCACCTTCGTTATTGGTCTGGCCTTTAGGACCTAGCAGTAGGGAAGCTTCAGTTTTGGCTTATCAAAGAGAGACTGCATAACGGAACTAGCTTTTCCGATTGGAGATTCAGAATCAAATTTGTGTGGTAAGGACAGAAGGCATATGGGCTATTTTATTCCTTTTCTAATATGTTTCTCTGAGTGTCTAGTCTTCTCTACTGAATGGGTCACTTGGAGGTGCAGGCATCACTGCTTTGTGTAACAGGTTCCAAGCATTGATGAGTTGGTGTTAAAACCCGCATGGCAGGGGTATTTTGTACGCTCTGAAACGGACATGGTTCACTCAGATATATTGAGAGAAGTGGCGTTTTCTTTTCACCCTAACAACACTTTTTCAGGAATGGCTACTCCTAAATCATTGATATGCTGACTGTGGATAAATGGATAGCCATCGTCGATGGCTAAGATATACTAAAATTTCTCTAAAGCCTTTATTGAGGTCCATTACACACGTCTCATAAATAAGCTCAAGACAATGAATATTAAGTTATCGTTGACAGACCAGTTTACATAGTTCCTAAATAATCAGTTTCTTAAAGTAAGGATATACTCTACTTTCTCGCAGGTTTCAGAATATTATAATAGGGTCCTACATGATTCGGATTCAGATTTAGATCTGTGTAGTAAGGGCAGAAGGAATACGGCCTATGTAATTCCTTTTCTGGTATGGTTCTGTGAGTGTCCAGTCTTCTCTTAAAAGAGTCAATTGAAGGTACGAACACCGCTGCTTCGGTCAGTAGGTTCCAAGTACTTGTAGTGTGGCATCGAGTCGAGATTGACTATGAACACCACTACAAAGGAACGCGTGCCAGGATATCCATAAAATCCCCTGGAAGCCAAATATCAGAAGGCAGTTAATGGACCAAGTCGAGATATATTTGCTGGCGATCTCGTGGTATCGAAAGAATACCGAGATCGTGCCAGGATACAAGCTTAGTTACAGAAAGTAATCGAATCCGCGCGGGGTCACAATCAAAGTAAAGTATAATGGCTGTTTTTACCACAGTTAAACAAAGAGCACATTAAACAGTCACCAGTACAATTGGTTATAATAATAATAATTGTTTTCATTAAATCAGTCGTGTTTTCATGATACAAGTAAGTCACTACATATTAATGACTCGGTGTGCGAACCTGTGTGTCATAGGTATTTTTGTTCGTTCTTGGCTTTTCTACTCGCCTGCTATGTCCTCTGAGATGTCCCGACTTAGTGGGAATAAAAATCGAGAATAAGTTGAGTCTAAAATCATTTCTCTGTGTTCTGTACATCAAAATTAAATCGCCCCTTAACCTGCAATAGGACAGAGTAAAGAGGTTCAGCTTTTCAAGCCGCTCTTTCTATGGTAAACCCCGGAGTTTCGGAATTGCACGGGTAGCTGCCCTCTGTACTTTTTCTAGGATATCTGAGTCACCTTTTAAACAGGGGCTTGTAACCTGAACGCAGTTCTCAAGATTAGTTCTCACTAGGGATGTGTATATTGTAGTGAACATTTTAGTATCTAACTTAGTGAATGTCCGTTTTAAAGCCCAGAGGGTTCGAAACCTCTTAGCTGCGATCTCCCGTCAATGGACTGTCGTGTTAAGATCATGACTCACTGTCACCCCTTGATCTTTACGAGACCGGACCATGGGTAACGGCACTTCCCCTATGTTGTACTTATTAACCTTCGAATCCCCAAAGTGCATGTTGACACACTTTGCCGCGTTTATGGGCATCTGCTACTCTTTAGACCAGTTTATCATATTATCTAAGTCTGCCTGAAGAGCACATGCGTCTGTGTCTCCAGTAATTACTCGCCAGATTTTCACGTCGTCAGCGTATAGTAACATTGAGGACTCAACTATACGTGGGAGATCATTTACACACAATATAAAAAGTAGAGAACCTAGGACAGAACTTTGAGGTTCTCCTCTAAGTACTGGTATCTAGGTGGGGAACTTCGAATTCGATCTTTCTTTCTGTCCACGACATACTAGGAAATCCTTGAGCCATTTTGGGAGAGGTCCGAGAACACCTAGATTTTCCAGTTTAAAGTGCAATCTATTTCTTGGCTCCTTGTCAAATGCTTTGCTGAAGTATGTGTGGACAAAATCTACTGATTTTAGATTGTCCAGAGCCTCTATTTATCGCTCCCCTGTTATGAGGGGTTTTGTTGTGCAAGACAAACCTTTTCTGAAACCGCGTTTTTCACTGCTCAAAAATTGTTGGTTCCCATGAATGTCACGATGGTGTTTTTGACTATTCTTCCTAGTATTCCAACTACGACACTGGCATAAAGTGGTAAGAGCCTTAGGTAATTCGTCTCGATCAAAGTTCATGACGAGCAGATGGTTTGTTGATTTTGTATTTGGCTCTAGTTCTTCGTCTAGTAGGGGCTCCTGAGCGAAAACCGACTCAAAATGGTTTACCATAGCCTCTGCTTTTTCCTGATCATCCTTTATAATTTCAGATCCTCTCCTCTATTTAATTAGGTTGAGAATCAAATTATTATTATTATTCACAAATATCTTATGGGTATATAAGTGTTGTGAAGAAACCATTTCGGGTTTCTTCAGAAAATGCAATAATACACAATTTTCAATAATGTTAGCATTATACTTGCCATATTTAAAAAATAAAAAATAAATTAGAATAATAATAGTAGAATATTAATAATAATAAATCGGGTCTTTGTAATTGAGAAGAATATTGAATCGAGTTTAAAGAAGGAAATGGAGAAAATAAGGGAATAGAAATAAAGGAGATGTGAAATACGCAAACAGTGTAATAGGCATGTTTATAAACACAGAACAAGAATAAACGACCATATGTGTATCGTTAAATTGGTAACAAAAAATAATTTATCATTGTAGTAAGATATGACGCTAGAATAAATGTTTGTGCAGTTATAGTTTAGAGTGATGCTATGAAAGTCACAGTTAAGTGAAAAGGATAATAAAATATCACTATGTATGAGTCATATATGCATAGTGAAGATAAAACGAATCTGAAAAGTTAATTTAAGTGTAACACAAGTTATTGTTTTAATTACAAACTTCTTAATCTTAAGAATAAGATTTATTTAGAAGGGAAGAAGAGAGAGAAAAGAAGTGAACACCTAGTGAAAAGGTTCATCGATGATAAGAATAATAATTGAATAATTGAATGAATATCAACCTCAACCAGCAATTGAAAAAAAATAAAATAAGAATCATTTAAAGCTCTCGGATCAATACATTTAGATTTAT